ATTGCAGCTACTCATAATGTTCTCCTAAAACTCATGACACCCCTAAGGTATCTGCAAACTGGGCTTGAGAATCACTGCCCCAAATAAACATACCCCTGAGAAAGGAGTCTGCCAAACATCCCAAATATTTCAGAACATTCTTCCTCTCAGCTTGAAGCTTCTTTCTTCCCAACCAGAAGCTTCACAACTTACTGAATGGCTGTGATGATTCTTTACCATGCCATAGATTCAGACTCTGCAACATTTTAGCAGTAAAATCCAACCAACTCTAAATCTTTTGGTAAAAAATACAAAAAATACTTTAGTAACAGACTTTAGTAAATATGAATCCAAAATGATTATTTTTTGAGATGGAGTCTTGCTCTGTTGATCAAACTGGAGCGCAGAACTGTGATCTCGGCATCTCAGCTCACTGCAACTTCCGCCTTGAGGGTTCACATGATTCTCCTGCTTCAGCCTCCCAAGTAGCTGGGATTACAGGTGCATGCTGCCATGCCTGGTTAATTCTTTGCATTTTTAGTAAAGATGGGGCTTTGCCATGTTGGCCAGGCTGGTAGGTGATCCACCCACCTCAGCCTTCCAAAGTGCTGGGATTACAGATGTGAGCCGCTGTGCCCAGCCAAAATTACACTTTAATGTAAAATTAAATTCTGGATTGCTGTTCTTATTTAGGGTCATTACGGGTTTTTTTCCCCCATTTTATTGTACAATGTTAAGAGAATAGTCAAGGATTTTCATTGTGCTCAAGCCCCTTAATATCATTTTGCAAATCCAAAATAAATTGCAGTTTGGAGATTAACGCAGTTAAATGTCTGGACTGTAGGAATTTTCAGATTTATTGAGCAGCTTCATAACATCAGATTAAAAAAAAAAAAAAAAACTCTTGAAAAGATCTACTAATCAAGACCAATGGCGCATAATACATAAACATACTGACCTTGAAACTACAGTGGGGGGATAAAGTAGTCATCTTTAATGTACTGCAGAATTTAGTGTCAAAATGAGTCTGTGAATTAAAGGTACACAATAAGTACTCAATAAATGTTAGCTAATTTAAAAGTGTTACCTACTAAGCAGTTACAACTGGAGACCAGGTATTTCCTGTTGCTACAGCCAAATTCAAAGCAATCAGATACTTTACAGAACTGCAGACTTGTTGGCTGGGCATGGTGGTTCACACCTGTAATCCCAGCACTTTGGGGGACCGGGGCAGGCAGATCATTTGAGGTTTTTTTTTTTTGTTTGTTTGTTTTTGAGACGGAGTTTCGCTCGTTACCCAGGCTGGAGTGCAATGGCGCGATCTCGGCTCACCGCAACCTCCG